TTCAAAATGAACTGAGAAGCTGGCAAAGTACGCCAGAAATCGATACACTTGAAAAGTCTTCCCCGAACTGAAGGTTGAATAGAAATATCAACAGTACTCTCAGAGTCCTTAACCGCGCCTAAAACTAGCGGAGTGACGTCAGAAGAAACTGATGTGACATCGAGACACTCCTGATCTGAATTACGGCTTTCCGCCTCAAAAATCATATCACTACAAAGAAAACTGAAAAAGATTGCACCTGATTGTTGTCCTTCGTCGGCTAGTCATTTAGGAGTTTGTGACGTTTGCTTGGCCATCGTCGGGCAACAGGAGCGCCAATGACCTGGCTTTCCACAGGCAAAACAGGTGCCGGTATTGGGTCGACGAGAAGGGAAACCAGGAACGTTCAACATAAGAGGCTGATGTTGAAACTGCGAACGTGAGGTCGACGCCGGGATTCCAACGGACGAGGATCTGTTATTAGAAGTCGAAAAGGTAGTCTTCTTCTTTTTACGGGCCTGGAGCGCTACACGGGCACGTCTTTCTGCACTGTGAATTCTTTTCTCGTCCTCCGAATCATCGGCCAGATCATACTGTTTATATTCCTCAACTGTCGCCCAGCCGAACTCGGACTTGTCCGCTAATAAAATAAGCTTTTGCCTCTCGCAGAGCAGTTTCTCACCTTCCGCGAGATCCGACTTTACTTTCTCTAGCTGACCATTCTCCGCAGCAGACTTGGCGGAACCAATATTTTCCGCTAGCTTACGGTTAAAGTTGAACTGGTCTTCATTGGCCTTCTTCTTGAACTTATGTGGTTCGTCATACTTGGGTTTCTTAATTTCTTTCATCCGCTGCTCGGCCGAATCTTCGTTGGAGCGCTTGATTTGACCAACGGTTTGTGCTAACAAATCTTTGAACGAGTCCATTAACTGCTTGTTATTCTCTCGAATGAGATCGGACACTTCGTCTTTGCTGACGGACATAACGCAGAAGACAAACGACAAGAACGTTAAAGAAAAAACCAAAGAGAGGTTGGTTCAGAAGCCTAGATGACGTACACGTGATATACGCAGCTTTATATACCCCCGATATGGCTACCCATGGTGCACCCGGCCTAGAACCCAGGCCCTGTTGTATCTCGTGCCGTCAAAATATTTATTTCTGCCTTCTTCGCGGG